TGTACAAGAACTTACAGGCACAGAACCTGTACACAAACTTAGAGGTAAATGAGTTCTCATGCAAACGCGGTGAGCTGATGTTGTAATTGTGGGGAATGTGGTAAACATATGGGTGCTCTGGTTTTGATGACCATAAACAGGACCTTGAAAACTCGCAGTACAAGGAACTGCATGAGAGTTTACAGGTAAGGTAGTGTGATAATTTGAACCTGTACATGAACTCAAAGAAGTGCTGAGTGCATGAGAGTTCACAGGTAACCCAGATACTGGACTTGCTGTCTGTGTAATGGAGGGGCTCATGTGAGTACCTGTACTGGGGACTGCAGGTATATACATACTAGGGACAGCTGTCGGCTCTCTAGGAAAACCTGTACATAAATTCTCAGCAAAATGTGAGCAAACAGGTACAAAAGGCATCTGAGTTGTGGGACCACAGTTGTGAAGATGGCTCATTTTAGGCGTAACTACACTGTGTGCTGTCTGCGGCTGCTCTGTAGTAGAACTCACAGTTACAGAAACTGTATCTGAGTTTCCAATAAAAAGTGTAGATTCTCCGTCTCTCACAACGTCTGCCTGAGAACTCACAAGCATTAAACTTGTATCTGAGTCATGTAAATTTGCTAACTGAGAGGCTTCTTTATTTGAATGAACAACTGGCTTAGTTCTGTGCATGTCGGTTCCTTCACACGGAAATTCACATTCGCTTTCATTTTCTCTTACAGTTTCTACGGAGGAGCACGAAACCCGTGAGGTAGATCTAGATTCTTGAAGACCACGACGCCTCCGTCGACTTTTACGACCTGCCATTGTGATTTATTTTCATTTGATGTTTGCTCAATAAAATTTTTGTTTCTCAAACACAGACAAAGCGTTGTTATGATTCGATCACAGGACCCGTAAACTTAAACGGATCATTCGATCACAGGACCCGTAAACTTAAACGGATCCCGCCGTGGATGCCAAAATTGTAACGCTTCGGAACGCCTGTCTTGTGCTGAGAACAAAAACTTCGATGTAAAGTTTTATAATTTTATTCAGCAATACATGAACAGCGAAAACAAATAACAATGTTTGAAATTCACACAAGTCTCAACCCTCGGGACAAAAGACAAAATCAGTACAACTACTGATATAACTGGGCAACTGGCACTATTTCCAGTAATTTATAATTTAAGTATGAATTCCCCCGACCAAAATAAAACAAAAAGGCTCTCTATAAAATGACTTATAATTAATTTACAAATAAATATTCCCGCTACAAGTTCAATTACTAGCACGCAGCAGAAATATTTCCTAACTCCTAAACTGGGCTAAAGAAGATAAAAATAACTAGTTCACAACTAGTAATTATAAATAAAACTAGTACAATTACTAGTAATATGAATTTAGCCTATCCTAACTTTACATATTATGTACTTCAGTCACTTAGATACTGAAATAGTACACACCTTAAATTACTCTGGACAAAACTGGCAACCTTTCTCTAGGTCACAAAGAAAACGAGAGAGCAAACGATATTCAGCATCCGAGTATTTATAGAATTAACAAAACCCGCAATAATTCATAACCAATCATAACTAATAATTCCATCCCGTAAATAATAATCAGCCAATCAAATATAATCATCGTCCCGTAACGAAATCTCACTCTCGTACATCGTATGCGAAATTATTACAATACGTAAATAAATTAAATAAATTCATAAAACATAAAGTTACACTTTTAAAGGCTCATTTAACACTGTTTAACATTTAATTTAAAAGAATTTACAATCAAATCTTCCGCCGAAATAACTCCAGTAAAAATAGATCACCGTGAAGCATCACGGGAAAATACACAAGTAAACAAAGTATGGCGGCGGCAGAAGTTTCGGTGAAACGTGTGTACTCGAAGACCATAAAACATCGTCACACAAGAAATAAGGTAACTTTAAGATAATCCTAAATTATAGCGCAGCTTTATAATTACGTATGTACAATTAAGCCAACAAAAAGCATGTAATTAAATAGCAAGACGATGTCTGACATTCAACACATCGAAACACAAGAAAAATGACATAGATCATCGCTGCATTTAAGCAGTTGTCAACCAACATTTAAGACATAACTCTCGCTGGACATTTCAACATTCCATACAAGAATTGATGAATGAATTGAAAGTATGCATGAAATTGCTTTAGAAAAATACCAAGATAAAAAAAATGAGATTCAAGAAAAATGGGGGAGGGATCGTTACAAATGTATCGAGAATGAGCTTTTGGTGCTGGAAGTGCTGCTCACATAATCACATTATACAGTGTAATAATCCTTCTTGTTATACCCTTATAAATATCTTTCTGTATATTCATCATTCATAAAAAGTCCAACAAAAGAAATGTTTATTACATCATTCTAACAATTTCATTGTTGGCCGGCCTGTCAGTCTAACATAAAAATTGTTAGGCTGCAATGTCACTGATATGTCAGAGGTAATAAATCTGTTCAATATCGGCGACAAGGAAATAACCCGAAATTAAGCAATGCAAGAGTTGATGCTATTTGAAAGACAGAGACACGCGAAGAGTATGTTTTATGATAAAAATTATTTGAGTGAAATAATCGTTTTATTCTTTTCTTTCTCAGCTATTGTTTTACCTTTATTTATGCGGCAATATACCTTCCTCACCTGCATACAGGATTTATATCTCTCCGTTGATTCAATGCGCAAGAGCATGCTCTACGTATGAACAATTTCTAAAACGAGGTAAATTATTGACTAACAAGTTGATGAAACAAGAATATCAGCCATTTCGGTTAAGGTTTCGTCATTTCGCTCCAAAACTATGTGTGGTATGAAGTCAATTTACATTTTGTAAATATATCACTAATTAATAGATAGAAAGTATTACTTGATAACAAATATTTTTAAAAAGATACAGAAAAATTGTATCAGAAAATGTGCATATTTTAAAAAAATGCAATAAAACAACATTGTAGATTATATGTTTATCATTGAAGGGCAAGTTGGACGTGAATGGTCTCTGAAAGGCTGTTATTGAAAGCATGACATGTATAAAGACAAGGCCCCTATAGAATCCGCCATTTGCAGTGTACTTTCACTTTCAAGTTTTAACATTTGAACAAAATAAACAGGGAAAACAACTTTCCAGAGGCTATCCAAGCCCAACTTGTCCTTCATTGATAAACATATTTTGTTTCTGCAATGATGGTTTTCACTAAGAGCAAGGGATTAATTAGGTGTATTTTTTGGAAAATATATGCATTTTTAAGAAGAATTTTTCTCAATTAATATTATTCTAAGTATTTTCTTATCAAGTGATACTTTCTATCTGTTAATCAATGAAAAAATTTATAAACTGTAAAAGTTTTAACTTTATACCTTACATAGTTTTGGAGCTTTTGTAAAAATAAATTTTTGGACATGTTGACCTTTGACGAAACCTTAAAGTCATCATTTCGTTATTCCTATGGTCGATACAATGACCTTGTCAGCAAATACAATTTTATTATTGAGTCAAATGATGACTGACGTTTTTCATACTAATTGTTACAATAGGCCATTATTAACACTCTAAATTGAAGACGGATTTTTCCTATTATTCTCGATCATAACGAGGAGCACACGGCGGGTGTGACAGGTCCGCAGGGGATGCTCACTCCTCCATGGCACCTGATCCCTTCTCTTATGCTTTGGAGGTCCGTGTTTGCTCCGCTCTTCTTTTTGTATGTTATGGACTTTTGTGCTTGAATACTGTTCGTTATTTAAGGGTAAATATACAGGTAGCGCTCTATTCCTTAAACGCAATGTGAGCGAAGGGGCCGAGTCCCATTACTTTTAAGGAATGGAGAGCTAGTACTAGTGCTAGTATATTAACCCGCGTAAAATCCACCTTTCTGAATACTTGTATTTTAATGTTTGTTAATATATAATAAAGAACATTTTTTATGATACATATAGTATAGAAAGTAAGGCGAGAAAAGTGTACAAACTTATTCTTATCCAGTGTGTTACAACAACTTCGATAGATCAGTAAAATGAGTACCCAACTCCAAAGAATATGGTATCGCGTTCGATTCTCATCATAGGCAAAACAATTTTCTTTGTTTGGAAATGAACTTGATAAATTTTTCTAAGTACTTTCCTCGGTGGAGGCATGGGAGGGTTTATACGAAGATAACAAATTCCGTTTTCAGTGTAAGTTGCAACTCTCCATTCCTGAAAAATTATGGAGTGCTTAAACAAAAAAGTGACGTCACATGTGGATTTTACGTTTTCAATGTAATTTGCAACACTCCATTCCTGAAATATATATAATGGTTCGCTCGAAGAAAGGACTGACGTCACAGGTGGATTTTACTTCCATAATTATATTTCTGTACATGTAATTTCGTGTTTTGTACAGGAAAAGAAATAGACTTTTGTATTGTAAAGTTTTATGATTAATTCAAGGAGATTATTATTACCGTTAAAGATGTTTTCACAGAATTTTATATATGAGTAAGGTTCTCCATTAAACTTCTAAATGATTTGTGAACTTGAAAGTTTATTTCGTTCATCAAGGACGTTCCATACATACTCAACGTATTATGGAATCTGAAAGCAATTTATATACATTGATATAAGTCAAGGCAAACTCTTTATTTTTGTTCATTTCGTTTCCATTGAAAGACAAAAAAAAATAAATAATAATATTGTAAAACGAACAATATGTAAAATAGAAAGGTAACTAAAACAAAAATAATTTTAAAATACATTTTACATTTTAAGACAGATGATCCCCCCCCCCGTTATTTGATGCAAAAAATCTTAATAGTAATAATTTATTCTTTGAAATCATCCCTAAGAATAAGTACAGCTCTCTATCATTTTATACGGTATTCTTTTGAAACTTCAATGGTAAGTAAAAAAAATATTAAACTTATTCATTGTACTTATATAAACATGGCCTTACCTTTTATCTTAATGATATATGCAAAGGTTTGTTTTATATAACAAGCCTAATCAGAATCATCGTAAGTATAAAATATACTGTAGCAATATATGTATGGACAGTATAAAAATCTCATCTATATATTGAACATTTTCAATAAAAACAATTATTCAATAAACAAACTAAATTTTCAGCTCCAGGCCTAAGAGTCACATTTGATTTTTATGAGAGCCAATGAAATGATGTTTTTCTTACCGCAATTTTTTAACAGCCGTATGCGGGTATATTGATTGTCATTAACATTACATCATTATTAAAAACAAAACACAGCTGTAGATGTTTTTAAACACAACATAAACAAGAGCAGCACTTCTTCTCCTCCTGAACGGCAGCTGCTTCCTGGTGTCTAGTGAAGCTGAGGAAAACTTGTTCTAACGTCGTCTGATGAACAGAGTAGTCCTCTATGTTAAACTGAGATTTAGCCCGCTCCATCTCCCCAAAAACCCGACCCAAAGCTATATTGTTGTCCGGAATTTGAAAATGCACATAACCCTGATGATCATCAAAGATTGTGCTGTCCGGAAATGTAGTTTTTACGAAGTTTTTAAGGGGTTCTGATGGAGCTGTTGTGCCATCTTTCTGTTGGGCGAGCCTTGCAATGAGTGTGTATCCATGTCCGAATTTGTTCTTAAGATGTTGTGGACTACCAAGGCAAACAAACCTTCCATTGACCATGATCACTATCTTTGTACATAATGCATCACATTCTTCCATGCTGTAGGACAAATTATTATTAAATGGAAAGATTTAAAAAAAAACCTGAAAATTAAACTTATTTAGAGGATATCTTTCTCAGGTTAAATTTAAATGGCAAATTTATTCTAGATTTAATTACAGAATTTTAAGCAAGTAAAGAAAATTCTCAAAAGTTAACACTAAAACATTTTCATTATTCAGATAGTTTGAAAAATATTGAAGTGCAATTGTGAAATAAATATATAATTTTCATACCTGTGAGAAGTGAGGATAAGGGTCCGCCCACTAGCGCGGACCTGGGAGAGAACATTCCAGAGTTGTCTTCTGGCAGCAGGATCCATCCCAGTTGTCGGTTCGTCCAGGAGAATGAACGGAGGATCCCCAATCAGGGCGATAGCTGTGCTCAACTTCCGTTTGTTTCCACCACTGATAAAAGAATCCAAATGTTCGGTTTTTAATAATTTGCAAACATGATCTTGGAATTTTAAGCAAATAGCATTCTCTAAGAGGATAAAGTTAACGTCAACGTAAAATATCTGGACTATCTTTAGAAGAATGTCAAAACAAACTTTTATTTCCAAAATGTAAAAAATGATACAAATTCAAATAAATAAATTTTTGATGCATTTCTTGAATTTAAATTACTACAAGCGCTTACTTACATGATTTATTTAATACACATATCATAGTACAATGCATGTCTGCTTCAAAAACGCGCAACACACTAGTCTAGTTAATCATATCCTAACCTGTACGTCCCACATTGCCTGTCTGCGTATTTTCTAAGCATCATTGTCTCTAATAAGTCGTTGACCACGCCTTTGATCTGGGATTCCTCAATTCCCCTCAATCTGGCATACATTGTCAACGTCTCTCTTCCCGTCATCTGATCGATCAACGCGTCAAACTGGGGACAGTACCCAAGGTTTTGCTGGACCTAAGTACACAATGATAAGGGATAAGACACTTCTAAATAAACAGTTTTATAACTGTTTTTATTGCTCCTAAAATGCCCTTTTCTATCATTTTTTCCTCTTCAAATGTAAGACCTTACCAAATGACATACTAGTATCTGTTAAATATAATTTAATATATTAAGTACTTATTTTGTTTGCATAGAGCTGCAGGTTTTTATCCTAGAAAGCATGTACCGTATCAAAATACAATGTTTATGGCTTTGGGATCAATTGGCATTTAAAAATTTTGTTTAGGTATGAATCATCGTTTATATATATGGAGTACAATCCTTAAAAATGTACAAGAACAAACCATTTCAAGTTCTGTTTTGACGTCATAACCATTTAAGTAGGCGTTTCCACCTGTCACAATTTCGTCTCCAGTCAACATCTTGAATGTTGAAGTTTTCCCCGCCCCGTTTTGTCCCAACAGTCCGAAGCACTCTTGTTGTGGTACGCCTACACACACGCCCTTGACAGCTGTATACGAACCATAAGACTTGCTGAGATTCCGTAGAAGCAGGGATTCCGTCTTCAAAAGGCTATCGATAGAGGTTTTGTTAATGCGGCGCTTTTCTTCTTCTACATCGTCGTCGTCTGGGATGGCATCACTATTACCAACCTCTGACGAAACGGCAATTGGGTCACGATTACAAATCATATAACGGATGCGACTAATAACACCAAACTCCACTAAGAACACTAGGATCATGTAGAAAAGTCCTTGTGCTGCCATGAAAACGAAGTATTTCCCCACACCTGGAGTCTCCCAAGCTAGGTAATTCTTGTCAAAGATTAAACAGTTTTCTGTGCATATATCTACAAAAACGACAAACGTAAACTATCAGTTTATACAAGGTTCTTCAGAAATTCTAAGTTACAAATACTTTTAGTATAAAAATAATGGTTGGAAAAATTAAACTTATTACTATTGACTCATGGTAGAAAAAAGTCCAAAATGTGTTAATCCGAATATATCAATGAACTATTAGAAATCTTCTCTACCCCAAATGATGCTCACCTCTGCAGCAGGATTTTATTGGAACTAGATCTTTAGGAAGAGAGCAGACAAACTCGTAGTTCAACTTCGTGCATGTGTCTATGTATTCGTAATTAACATATATATTCATCAGTGTTTGACCTAAGCAGTAGTTTGGGAGGAATATTGTAAACAACCAATCAAAAATGTCGCCTATGTCTTCTGAAATGCCCAGGGCTGGGAGCCGGAGAGTGAAAACTGCCATTATTGTAGCAAGTCCTATGTTTAATTTGAAATATGAAAAAAAAATAATTTACCAGGTGTTGCATTTTAAATCAAATATATTTAATTGGCACTGATTCAACTTATATACCATATTGATAATTTAAAACAGTACAAACCTGTAAGAATATTTAATAAACTTCCTGCCACCATTCCAGAAGCTGGCGTTTTAAACAGATAGTAAAATATATATACAAATGGCATGCATGCCCAGCCATACAGGAAGAACATGGCGTAAACTAGCCCCAGGCGGTTATCTCCCGTGTAAGCCTGTGTTTGGAAAGCAGCAAAGCACACCATGATGAGGAGGATAGGAATCTGATAGTTCAGTAAATCCCACACAAGATTTGACATCCAATAGGCGGAGGAACTCACGCCGCTCACCTTCTGAAGGTGCTTGGCTCCGGTTATCTTCTCCTTTATCAGAAAAATAATGAAACTGGTGGAGAGGAAAGCTAAACCAAAGAGCATACAAAAGGCGATGGTGAAACCAGTCCCTCTCGTAGCGTATCCAATGCCTTGACTTGTTTCATCCAATGGTCTAGGGAAAGGAAAATTTGTGGTCTGAATGGAATGATTTTTACTGGTGAAATGTTTGAGCAAAGAATCCATCGTATATTGCAGACTTATTGCACTTGAATGCAATGGATCTCCATTGAAATAAGATGTGATGTTACCTGCGAGCGCACTCTCTATGTCAAACACACTCCCGATAATGTAATTTCGTTTAAAAAATGCTTGACCGACTCGCTGGGATTCATCAATGATAAAATTATCGAAATCATTCTGGTCATATTTCAAAACTTTGTATCCTTCAGACATGATAGATTCTGCATAATCATCCGCCATAGACTTACTCTGGGCTGAAGCAGATTTGGAGGTATATATTGCTACATTGTCTGGGAAGGGTTTCAGATTCAATAATAAGGAGGACTCGTCCTCTTGTTTGGGGAGGGTCTTCTCCACGGTGAGAGCTAGCAGGGTAAACACCACCGGAACCAGAAGCTGGACCAAAGTGACGGTCCTGTTCCTCCAGGTATGGATAACTTTCTTCACGAACATGCTGTAAAATTGCTGCAAAGCTAGAACCGATCCGCTGTTTTTCTTCAGACCAGTATTGAATCCTTAAATTAGAAATCAAACATTGTTATAAAATTCCATTGAGCTCCTTCTCTTTTTTATAAATTATGTTTTTTGGGGGTTATTTTCTTATTGTACAAGAACTTATGATCTACCTATGTAAGTTTCTTCATTTGCAACTTTCAAATTTTGAACCAATCCATTCTTTGTTTTGTCTACCGAGCCGTTAGCGACCCCATTGGGGATGTCGTTAGTACTTCCGTACCCGCCGTTCTCATAGGCCATTGAAGCCTTAGAAGGAGTGTACATCTCTTCCTCAGACCTCTGGCTGCTTTCTCCAACTCTATGAAAATTCAAAAATTGAATACAAAGAATGTCAATGCCAACTTTTATTATATCGTGGGCTGACTGCTTCGGACCGTAGATGTAGTCGCAGGTATCCTTAGAAATTGTTTTCCTTATTCAATATTTTTCTTGGAAAAATATAGATTGATGTACCTCGAGTCATGATTCGCCAACACACTGACTTTGCCTATTTGTTACAAACATTCATTAAGTTCCATCCCCTATCCCCCTGCCCCTTCAAAAACCTCTTTGACCATAAAACATATATGTAGTGTTTGAGGCGATCGGAAAAAACGTATTTAACGAATCTAATTGTTAATATAATTTTAAAAAAAACTTTCAAGAATCTGTATTTGGTATAGAACACATAACAAAATCATTCACGATTCTATATTACTATTCAAAGAATGAAATAGTTTTAACAGTTGTGAAAAACGCCCACTTACTTGAGAAAGACCTCCTCCATTGTTGTGGCAGACGTTCCAAAACTCGTTAACTTCAGTTCTGATTTTCTTTTCTCTATTTCATTAAACAGTTGTTCAAATTTTGAAGATTGGTCAAATGGAAGAAGATAAGACAACTCGGCACTGATTTCGCTTTCCAGTTCAGCTGCTGGGATGTGTTGCTTGATAACGTTTGTCACAGTTGTGACGTCACATCCTTTGTCCTTTACCATTACAAGATGATATCCGGCTCCTATAGAATCATCAAGGGGATAGCAAATGAAAAATTAATGTAATTGTCTTTAACATCTGTGTTAATATAAAAAAACTTATTATTATAAGAATAGGACAATTCTGTTATATAATTATGCTAGATTAATCTTAAAAAATATGCTTATATGTGCAGTCTGTTCATATGGCTATTTGTAGGATGAAATTGATCCCACCTTTGATGTTTTGGAGGTCCGTGTTTGCTCTGCTCCTATTTTGTATTGTTAAAATGGACTATTGAGCTTGAATACTCTTCGTTATCTCCATATATTTCATCAAATTAATTAATAGACAAGTACTTTAAAATTCTTGCACACCAAAATTGGTTTTAATCATATTTTATGCTCTAAGTTAAATGACATTGTGCATGAGCAAAATGGTACTATTAAAAAAGAAAATTAATTTATTTTGAAGTATAATGCTATTTATATATCAATTTACCATACAACTTTTTCAGAAACAAAGACGTTCCACAACATTTGACTACTCCTTCCGCCATGATTGCTATACGATCACCAAGGAGATCTGCCTCGTCCATAAAATGAGTGGAAAGAATCATAGTTTTCCCTTCTCTGAATTTCTGCAAAATTTCCCACGTTTGACGTCGAGCCGCCGGATCCATACCGGAAGTAGGTTCGTCCAGGATAATGACCTGATTTTTTAGATTCACACATATGATGATTGCTTAGGTATGTTTATTATAAAATACATCATATACGTTTTTGCAAACAGTATATACAAGGTGTTATTACTAAATAAAATACCGGTATTGTAAATTTACAAAATATTTAGGCGAGTTTTTACCTCTGAACCTCCAATAATTGCTATTCCAACGGACAATTTTCTTTTCTGTCCCCCAGATAGAGTCATGGAGAAATTCTTCCTCTTGGCTTCTAATCCCAGCACTTTTATCATGTCGTCCACCTCTTTGTTCACATTTTCCTTCGGACAACCTTTTAACTGATATTTAATTATCCACAATGAAGTTTGTTTTTGTTTAAGACTCTCTTAAATTCCAGTGTATCTTATTTTTAAAATCAAAAATTATAATAAAAATGGAAACTGTGTTAAAGTGGAAACAGTAATATTCTCATAATGATTGCCAAAGTATTCAATAGTCTTGTGAGGGAATAATGTTAAATAGAAGTAGTTCACCAACGTTTCCTCTCATCAAATTTCTAAAAGCGTCAATTCCATGTTTTGCCTCAATTGTTACTAAAGGCATTTTTAAGAACAAATTTATTTACACGTTTACTATATACGAAAAGAATGGGGTTTAGTATGCATGTACCTGTGCAAAGAATTTCAGATGTTCCTCAACAGTGAGTGTATCAAAGAGAATGTTATGCTGAGGACAAAGTCCTAGGCTCCTCCTCACACTCTGAATGTCCTCACAAATATCGTACCCGTTCACTGTCGCCGTACCGGAAGTAGGAGGAAGGAATCCTGGGACAGGAAATATTTGTTATAATTCTTCACTTTCTACATACTTTCGAGAGATGAAACTAAGGATTTTCGAAGAATTCTTCAAACTGCTCATGGTTATTTTTTGAATAAAATTTATTTTCTATTCACCTGTCAGCATAGACATTGTTGTTGTTTTTCCAGCGCCATTATGACCTAGAAGTGCTGTGATTTGACCTTTGAAAATATTGAGAGTTGTGTCTGCTACCGCTACCTTCTTCTTCTTCCCGCTTCCAAACTCCTAAGTTGTATGGTGTGAGTTTGTAAACGAAACATTGAAAGAAATATAACAAAGTAGAATGTTTAGCCTGTAAAAGTTCCTTAAAAGTACCTTTCTCAGGTGGTTGACACTGATTCCGACAGACAAACCGTTAGGGTCTCTCTCGAAGTACTTTGGATCCAGTTTTCCCGTGTCACTCGATGTTGAGGATCTTTGTATTGTGCCACACCAATAATTTTTCTAGAAAATGCAACTCCAAGATATTATATATTATTGAAAAATAGTCACCCCTTCTTTAAAATTTATTTAAATGGCTGGGCATTTTTGGTTTTCTGCTTATAACTCACTTTTTTAGTATCACACATAAATATCTAAGCTTACAGTAAATATGATACCGGCATGCTAGTTTTTTTTTAATGTATGGATTATCATGTGTTTAAATATATATTCATAACCCAATGATAAAAAATTTAGATTATTACATCTTGAGCTTTTTCAAATATTCTCCGTTCCAATATTTTGCTCAGATACATCTTTTACCTGTAAAACATCTTCATTTCAGGAAAAAGAATGCAAAAATATTTTTAAAAAAATGATTCGCAATTCTTTGAATTAATTTCAGATTCTCATTTACTGCATGGCAATTTTTCTTACGTATAATAGACTTAAGAGAAACATTCCTACCGAAAGAGGAAAATACCATGGCAACGGAACACCATATTCTCCCGGAAATACGCCATCTACATACCACGTGATGATGAGGTAAATAGCACTAGACCCCAACAACATAAGCATGGAGTCAAGCAATGAAAAATTGTCATCGACTGTTGCTGGCTCAGCGAAATTATTCCACTGAGCACCATATCCTGATAAAAAATACATTTGTTGATAAAACTCAAAGATGTATAAAGAAATCAAAATTAAAGAAAGTTACATGTAGTTTGTTTTTGAATACTTATCTGAATTTCAAAACAATCTACCTGTTCCTTCATATATCCCAATAGTGTTTATTCCAAAAGCCATTCCCATATTATTAAGAATACAAATTCCGAGTTTTTCTGATTTTGACATCGTTTCGTATCGACTTTGGAGGAAGAAATATGGAACATAAGTACAGAAATAACCAATTCCACTGGCGAAGGCGGCCGAATTCGCTGGAATAAAAAGAGAAAAAGAGCGTTTTCTATGGAAAAATAAATATTCTTACATTATCTATATTTTAAACATCCAAAATCCAAAATATTGATGGCCAAGAATTAAGATATACGTTACCTTTGTTAAAAAATGTGCTGACCATGAAACAGAAGCAGATGATGGACACAGAATAACAGAGAAGGAACACAAAGAACAGCGAGGGGTCGGTTTTGGCGAGCACTTTGCCCTTGTCAGAAACCTCTATAGAGAATAAAATGCTGTAGAACGCAGAGGCAATGATGAGGTAAATGGAACTTTTAAACAGCCAGGACGCCCAGTAAATGGAGGAGTTCAGACCCATCAACTTCATAGACTCCTGTACAATAAAACGTCATTTACTGTAGGAAGGTGTACACATCAATTTTTGATAAAGGAAACATTTTAAAATAAGAAATGGAAAATGTCATCGATTTTGGAGAAGAAAAGCAAGGGGTGATTCATTAAACAAATGGATCAGCTCTTAAGCCTACTTTCAGTTTCTTTTCCTTTTCATATACAATTGCTTTGGTTGTTTGAAGAGAAGAGAGAATGAAGCCAAGAATGAGGAAGAAGGGCAGGTACATCTGTATAACGGTGGTCAGGTTGTCCTTAGTGTAGGGCGGGTACGGCATCTTCTTCATAAAGAAGTCATAGTTGTCTAAAGTAGATGTTGTATTGAAATGCTTGACGATAGCCATGTCTACAGCATATTGAAAAGCCAAGAAACCAGTCCCTTGGTAATCTAAAAAAAAATAATACATCATCCATATAATTAAGTTGTTGACAAGAAATATATTTGATTACTTTACATGCAGTAATATGATTTTTTTTATTTATTTCAGTCCGTCAAACTCGTTGTTTCCTTCTGATTGAGAGGAGACAAAGAGGGTTGTAGCATTAATATCGGAAAAATGTTAACCTGGATCGCCTCCCGTTGATACATTATTTCTTGGGCCAGTGAGTTGAAAGAAAGGGTACACATTCTTGGTGAGCCATCTGTCAGACACCTTTTTCCGGGCCACGCGCAAAGTGTATTCGACATTGCGTGCTAAACCGGAAACTGCATCCATAAAAGAAATTCCTGCGCGGACTTTGTTATGATTCTTTTCGTGGAATTCCAGGAGCGACTCTTCACTGTCAAATCCGAACACTGAGGAAAAGTAAGCAATGTTTGAAGGCGTGTAACATAATGACAGACTAGTTACAACAAGGTACATCAGGGGTTTTCCTACCATTTTTTAACTGGGTCCGGGGTCCATAGAATTGGGAAAATTGACGCGAAATGCGATCAAATTGGGAAAATTTTAAAAAGGACCAATTTTGTTATTTTCCCATATAAATGAAAATGAAGGGACCAATAAGTCTCTGTGTTACAATAGAGTAAACAACTGTACACAGATATAAAGATTTACACATTATTCAGCTGTTATTGAATGATAAGAAAAAGATATAGCACGATGATACAATTGCATGTTGACACCTGTTGAGATTTTCAGACGTCTTGCAGGGAATCAAAGTATTGTACATCTGTCTGAACACTCTTAAAAAATTAAGAATACAAAATTGGGAAAAAAAGATTCAAAATTGGGAAAATATGGCTGATTTTTTGATTGGGAATGGGTCCTGTAAACGGACTCAAAAACAAGCCAGGAAAACCCCTGTACATGTACAGGAAGAAAGTATCAATTTAAATTGTATGACAAAAAATTCAAAACTGGTTGTAGTGTTTCTTAGATACACAATCATGTGTATACTCATTTTTTTTAAATAGAGAAGATAACATTCTACTGACCATGCCAATGATGCTGTGTCCTGTTATCTGCAGAAAAATAAAAAAAATAACATCATCAACTTGACAAGACACTACTAACTGTAACATAAAGATAAATATGAAAATTTGTAATTAAACATAGATTTTAATCTTCTGTATTTTTCCTATTCAATATCTACATGATCTATAAATTAAAAAAATATCATTTGATTATTTCATAACTTAAGTTAAAAAAATATATTACCTAAACTACTCGCATTTGGTAAATGATTGCGGAAATCGGTCATTATGCTTCTGATTTCAGTGGTATTAGGTGAGTACAGAATTACATTTTTCACTCCTGTTAGAAACACATCATTAGGTTGAAATGGCGGCCATATTGTTGGATCTGTTATAGTCTCATTCTTAGCAATAAGTCTAATACAGACCAGAATAACTGCAAACACGATTGGTAGAATGATTTCAAACACAGTTACACACGCTTTCCTCTTCTGTAGAAGCCAATTCTTCCATAATAATAAAACAAACTGCCTTCCATGGTTAGCCATAATGCTCACTCCAGAATTGTCTTCGTCACTTAAAATTATTCTGTATTTTTTTCAAAGCTGTCAAAATTTAAAAGTAATAATATTGTGATACAAATACTAAATTTCTCGACAATTGTCTTCAGAAGAGTTGTGAAAAGTCATTAATGATAAATTTCATTTGTGTTACATATGAATATCAAGAAAAAAAGTTTATACTATGAGAGTATTGATTATAAAGCAGACTGCAATCACGCTTCCGTCTCGATGAATGTCAGGTGTGTACAATGAACAAGGGTGTGTGTAGTATTGTATATGAATCTGAATGTGCATAACGTCAAATAGCCAAACAAATATCAACTTTACACAAAGAAATTTATATTAGGGTCACAACAAGGAAGTAAGGATTATAAAGATGATTAGGTTCAGAAAATATAACAAGCAATGTATTATACAATTTTCAACTGTTACAATTATACATTAAAAGAAGAATATGGGGATAATCATTTGAATTAATTAGTTAAGTCTAATGCAGCCATAATTATGTTGGTTCGCAATCTTAAAAAAGAAGCATAGTTACGTACATGTACCTGTCAAATCTCTAAACGAAGCTGCCTCTTCACAAGGTTTTAACGCCTTTTTATGACGTCACTGTAGTTATCGGAGCGGATTTTGATGACGTATAATTATATTTGGTTAACATTTGACGTTCTAAAAAAAGAGAAAAAAAAAGGAATTTTTGTGTACCATAATATTAATCCTGCAAATGTTCGAGTCAACTGTCATGGAATACTATAGTAGTATTAGATCAATGTTTTTCTTATACATTAAATTGACCAAATAAAGAAAATAACTGCTATTTACATACGTTCAAAATACATCTCCGCCATATTACGACAAACACGATTGTTCTTACCTTTTTAAATGAACGTGTGGTAGAGACAGGGGTACAGTGAAGACAAAATTCCAAAATGTCCCTCCCTCACGTGTGCAACAACGCGCTGTGAGAAATTTTTATAGCCATGCAATATATCTCTACACCTTACACAGTCGTTATGGATCCACCTTAACCTTTTAGAACAATCGTTATCTCTAAACACGTGTACCCAAAAGTCAACAAATACCGCGATCAACAGTAGAGCGACAGGGATTTATACTGTACTGGGTATACTGTGGGGGTAACTTATATATCGCTGGTTTCGTAACTGCATTTTCACGTGCATTTACTGTGCAGCAAAGGATGGCCAAGTCTTGTGATAGTTTTAACACCAGAACTTATCGATAGTACAGCGACCACGCCCTTAAATGATGACAGAAAAACTATTGACGAATATTCATTTTTTCGCAGGCCTTTTTAACTAATTATTCATAAAGGTACTTTAGGCTAACCAAATAAATTTTTTTTTGGTTCCGGTAAAAATACTTACGTTATAAACCAATATCATAAGCTTTTATTATCGATTTACCAAGTAGTCACGTGATGGCAAAGTATAGGGGGAGAATAATTTAACCCAATATCTAACTGTGCATCGACTCTTTTTTTTTTTAATTTTGGATAGAATTCATTTATTTATGTATCCTAGCTTCTCAGAGCGGTGATGGTCGCGGACAAGCTTTTTGTCGATAGCGTTAGAGTCTATCCATCAGACCCACTGCCCGATGACAGACTGGTACCAAACCGTAGCCATTATGCGCCTGCCATCCCCATGGAATCGGCACCCTCTTCCAAATACAGATCAACTCTATGCCTGAACGTCACGCCGCCTTCCGCCAGCAACCCAGAATTACGCGTTGCGAACACGGAAGACTAGGATTACCATAGAGAGCAAAACACCGGATGTGTAAACATTGTAAATAGAGATAACGACTCTCTCACCTCTCCAGCAATAATAAGTAATTCAGAATTAAAAATTGTCAGTTTGAATGTTTGTGGGCTCTTATCTAAACTTCAAATTGTAGAATTTATTGAATTTATCAACCAGTATGACATTGTTTGTTTAACAGAAGCAAAAACTGATGAAGCGGACATTATCGATATTCCTAATTTTACAGTATTTAGTAAACATAGGTCAAAATTAGCAATACGGAAATCTGGTGGCATTATAGTATATATTCGAGATACTCTAGCTGAATATGCTACTGTTATTAAAAACGAATGTGACAATGTACTGTGGATTAAAATTGCAAGTAAAAAAATGGGTAACATAGATGACTTGATAATAGGAACTGTTTACATACCACCCTCAAATTCTCGCTTTTCCTCTGTTGAAATTTTTGATGCACTTGAAAGAGAAATATCAAACATAGCAATTGAAAATAAATGTATATGCTTAGTTGGTGATTTTAATAGTAGAGTGTCAACTGGAAAAGATTTTTTAAAATATTTAGAAACTGTAACCCCTGTTATTGGTGAAAATATTTTACTTGAAGAGTATGTTGATGTAAACCAATTGGAAAAATACAATTTTGCTGTTGAGAGAAAATCTAAAGATTTAGTTATTAATCAATATGGAAGAAGACTCCTAGATGTTTGTAAACAGTGTAATATGTTTATACTTAGTGGTAGATCAAGAGGTGATAGTGATGGGGAATTAACTTGTAAACAAACAAGTGTTGTGGATTATTGTATAGCCAATATTGATTTTATAAAATATGTGTCAGATTTCAAGATATTACAATTTTGCACACTTTTTTCAGATGTGCATAATCCTATTGAAGTTTCATTATTGTTTAGAAATGAACATTGTATAGGGTGTAGAACTGATGATCAACCTCCTGACCTTTGTTATGTAGTTGCTAAAAACTGGGATACTGAAAAAAAGTTGAACTACCAAAAATATGTTGATATGTATGAAAAAGCTACAAAAGCAATGTATGGTGTTCTTGGAAAATGTAGAAAACATAATCTTTCAATTGACTGTAAACTAGATATGTTTGACAAAATAGTGAAACCAATTTTGTTATATGGTTGTGAAATATGGGGATTTTGTAATGTTGCTCTTATAGAGAGACTTCATCTAAAATTTTGTAAGCATATATTAAATCTTAGGTCTTCCACGCATAATTTTATGGTGTATGGAGAACTTGGTAGATATCCTCTATCTATTAATGTTAAAACTCGTATGATTTCTTTCTGGGCAAAACTTTTGGTATCACAAGGCACTAAAATGTCATCAAAACTATTATTTGTGTTAAAAAATTATGATATACCATGGTGTAATGCTGTTAAAAATATTTTGAATGAGTGTGGATTGGCTTATGTATGGCAACAAAACTCTATTAATATTACATGGTTAAAGAATAAGGTGCAAAATATTCTTGTAGATCAATGTAAACAATTGTGGTATAGTGATATGTATAATTCACCAAAAAGTCTTAATTATAGATTGTTTAAAAAGTCAATAACATTTGAGAAATACTTGTTGAATTTACCTCCTAAACTTTCTATGAAATATTGTATTTTTAGAACTGGTAATGCTAAGCTTCCAATTGAAACAGGCAGATGGTATAATATTGTAAGAGAAAACAGAATTTGTCACTTGTGTTTATGCAAGGAAATAGGAGATGAATTTCATTATTTATTTAAATGCACTGACCCATACATTAAGAATTCTAGATTAAATCTATTGCCCAAGTATTATTACACAAATCCTAATGTTTTTAAGTTTGACCAACTATTTGATTTGAACAGCAGGGAAAAATTAATTAAGTTATGTAAATTTATTGGAACTATAATGGAGAGAGTCGGCTCTCTTGGTCTGTGACATTGTCATTTTTTTTCTTTTTTTCTTTGTCTCACGCATGCTTAATTAATTAATTGTAAATATTTTGTGTTATATCCTCTCTATACTGTTTTGTACAGTTTATGAGAATAAAGTCTTGTGTCTTGTGTGTCAGAATAAAGTTTTCATTATCAAGGTATTACATTGATACTGTGATGAGAAGGATAACTCTTTAATTGTGACATAAATGTCCAATTAATCATCTTTATATTTTGTGAGATGTTATTTTTTGACCAATTTAGCCCTGCAATTTATGCTATAAAATTTGTAATGTACTTATAATTAACTATATAGAGGTATCATGAACACTAAGATCACTAAATGATAGTCCGCCTCCCATATGAGTAAAATAGCAAAGTCCGTTTTGCTCTGGAAAACCGAAATAAGTGTCAGATCAAAAATTAAAATATGAGCTAGGTCACAATGGCATTATATAACAATCTGTGAAAGTACCATTTTATTCAGTGGTATAGGAGGAATTGCAGATAGGGGAGATGGGTACCTTTAATATTATACAAAGAATGGCAGCTCAATGTTTCGCTAATGGAAACCCGATATATGTGTCCGATCAAAAAATTACATAGGATGTGCACGATGGCACTTTGTAACAAAATGAGGAGATGGGTATCCCAAAGCGTAATAGACGGACGCACAGACAGACGGGTTTGTTAAATAAGAAGAACAAAGTGGTGTAAAGTTGATTTTATCTTTCCTTGCTCAATTTTTTTTCAAAAAGATTTTTCTTTTTTAAAACAATTTCTTAATTCGGAATATTTTATAAGTTTTTAATTATACCCCCGCTTGAAAAGAGGAAGGGTATGTAGTGATCGGGATGTCCGTCCGTCCGTCTAGCTGTCGGTATGTCTAGTTGTTTGTCCGTCCGTCTGTTACGCTTTGGGATACCCATCTTTTATCCGCAACTCCTCCTACACCACTGAATGAAATTGAAGAGACTTTCACAGAAACTTTGTTACATAGTGCCATTGTGCACCTCCTATTTTACTTTTTGATCGGACACATTTTTGGGGGTTCCCAGAGCGAAACAATTATTTCCGGTCTCTCGGAGCAAAACATGCACTTTGCAGTTATGACTGTATGGGAGGCTGGGGTATTAATAAGTGAGCTCATTGCTCAAAGAAAGCTCATTGCTCACAGAAACTCTAGATTATTATGTTTTCTTTTCATATATGATATCTGTGAGTTCTTAAGAGTCAAAATCAGCAAGCATCGAGCATTTAGTTTAAAAATGTGGAAAGTGGCATAGAAACAGATTTGGTTAAAACGCATATATAAATTTTCAGAACAAAGGGTATGATAGAAAAAAAGCAAGCAAAAAATAATTTTTCGCATTGTTGCTATGGAAACCACGCGCCTTTCAGATAGCGTGTTTTGTACTTTATCATGACACTTGAATGTATGATTAAACAAATACTTTTTTATTACTAGTCATTAAAAAAAGCTTTTTAAATTATTATTTTATTTATATAAATACACTCTATTTTAACAACTGTTGATTCACCTTTTGATAAATATAACTAGTTTTTTGGAGGTTAATTTTTCTTTAAAAAACTGCAAATTTGAAGTACTCGATAAGAAATCTACAACCACATTAAAGCATATCAACATAAAATATTCATTAAACAGTATTTGTTCTAGAAGAATCAAGAAAAAAATCTGCAGGCAACTAAAGCATTTATATATGATAACTGATTTAAATCCATAATTTTCTGTCACTTTTGCTTCAAATTACCCCCCTTTGGTATAGCTCTCTAACATAGGAGGAATAAACGGTAGTTTGCTTACATTGTTTTCAATAACAAAGTACAGAAGACTAGCAGAAAATTACAAATTTGGAGCAGTCTGAGCCTCAGTTTTGGCGTTTTTATGGGTCTTTATTACGGTGAGTGAGTGAATTTTTTTCAATTTATCATTACAACAGTTACCGAAGAATGTATAGCATAAATTAACCATGCAGTAAAATATGTAACACTTGGCAAGTGTTTTTGCACATTTTAATTGAATTCTGACTGATTATATATGTTAGCTTTATTTTAGTATTTTATAACTAAAAAAAAAGATTACGCATGGCCTGAGGAACCAGCTGGAGGAGGGGGGTATCCCCCCCAATAATATTGCCCACATTAAACTATATAATATTAGCAAATGAAATTAAATCCCCCAACTTGTTTCTGAGGGCCTAACGTGTAAAAGTTGGTCATGATCGGTCACATAACTGTATCCCAAATTATCAAGTTTAATTTGAATTTAGTGTGATTTTAATTTGTTGTATTCACGGTATATGTATGTAACCAAAGTCACTCACCAGCTATAATGATTATAATTGATAGTATGGTAAATAAAAGTATAGTAGATATCTTTATTTACCATTTAAGATAATACCTGCTTTTTACATGAAAAATTATGAATTTATGAAAACCAACACTATTATGAAATATTTGTAAAATGGAATGACCTTTATTATGGCTTCCGTAAAAAATGAAAAAGGGGCAGGTAGTTAACTCTGTACTTAATATTTTTTAGTTTATGAAAGGGGATTACCTTAGAAGTATTGTGATACAGACAACTGTATTATGTAGTGGACTAGTGGTAACTGAATTTTATATATACCACAGTAAAATAATGAATTAAAAAAAAATTTGCTGATGTCATCCAGTGTTTACTAATAAAAGGAAATTCATATTCAGCTAACATTTTCTCCGGTACCACTGAACTAATTTAAGTCAGCTAGGTTCAAATAATAAGCATCATTAGATTTAAAGCACGTAAATTTATAAAATGAATATCTTTACTCCATTTTTTCTTGGGGGGGGGGGGTAATACCGGTAATAATTTAAATATTACAATGTCATGGTCATTTTCATAGTTAATTTACATTTACACAAAATACTGAACGCATTTAGGAGCATAACCTTTGCCTGAGAAATTGAATATCAGTACATGTTTAAAGATTTGGGTTGAAATTCAGTTTTGACATATCAAATTAACTAGAAGTTTAAATGAGAAAACAATGAGCATGGCGGAAGATGATGGAGAGAGATATGAAGATGGCGGAAGATTTGTTGAGAAAACACACTTGAGCCTAAGGAAGTCAATAAAACTGGCGAGTTGATCATCATTTTACATATCCCGATCAAAGATAAAATACCATGTGCAGCATTTATTTCAACATTTCGGGAAAAACAAAGCTATACGTGCGGATTCGTAGTTTATTGAGACTCATGCGGTTCCGATGGCATCAGCTGAAAAACATGGACATGGAGAAGAGAAGAGGAAAGAAGTTTTTGTCTGTCAGAATTGCAGATTCTCAGCTCATTATGATTACTTTGGAAGAAAACCACCATTTACCAAATCGTTTGTGTAAGTACATTTTTGTTCTGTCAGGAATTGTGAGTTGATAATCTTTCACGATGTGATCTGGTGATCGTTGGATTCAAGCAAAGGCCTCTGAATTTCTATCAATAAGCCGTATATGTGATATATACCCCTTCTCTATATAAACGGTATGCAACGACGTTTTAACCCCCTCGCCGATTTGGAGCCAAATTTTTCGGAAAACGAAAGTGTTTAACCTTTAGCGTGCAGAACTGTGCCAAAATTGATTTTCCTTAAATTCCATCGCTTCAAAAGTTTCAAATGCATCGAAATATAGACGCAATCAACCATTATTTTCCACTTTTCAATAATCTCTACCCCTGGCCACCGCCATGCGCTGACGTCACGTAAACAATGGATCTGCACACCAAATGAAAAGCAATTATTTTTCTACTGCAATAACATTTAGCAAGACAAGCCCAAATCAAACTAGTGCTAATTGTAACGGGGACCGTTACAGATGTTCCCCAAACGCTCCCCAACTCCTTTTTGGTGCCATATTCCCTGTAAGCTTCATTAAAGAAGACAAACTCTGTGCATTTTGACTTTAACAACGTTTTCTCAGAAGGATACCAATTATATTCAAATTTTAGCATTGCATCCGTGCGCATGTGAATACATGTGCGTTATGATCATATCATCTTGTCTACACTATCTACATATTTTAATATACAATATATTAAAGCATTCAGTCCAAAAGTATGAAAAATCACTCTTTCAAGTGTATTTTTCATTTCTCTCGTTCCAAATGCACGCACGTGCGTGCACGTGCATGATGACCATACCTTCTTGTAGGAGTCCCTTACATCTATCCATATTCTAAATCCCATCCTGTTTGGTTGAAAAACAAGGGAGTTATAGCCATTTCAAGTTTAAGCCAATCAGATTGCAGCACACGATCATGCGCGTGATTTCATGATTTTTTTTCTATATCATATTGTAGGATATCCTAATGCATGACAATGTTTTAAATTTCAAAGCATTTCGTCAAAAAACAAAGTAGATATTGCCATTTAAAATTTCAGCCAATCAGATTGCAGCACGCGGGCATGCGCATGCTTTCATGAAAATTCTTATATATCTTGCTGTAGATCTTCATAATGTAGGTCTATGTTCAAAATTTCAAAGGATTATGACAAGAAACAAGAAAGATATTGAGACTTTAGTTTCAGCCAATCAGAGAGAAGTGCACGTGCATGCGCGTGAGATCTTACTTTTTTGACCATGTCATTTTGTCTATGCTTCTAATATATACTTATAAAATGAGTTTCAAAGCATTTCATCAATAATTTTAATAGTTACGTCTGTATCAATTATATTGGACATTTCTCGTGATGCACGTGCGAGCTCTTGCAAGCACATGTGCATGCACATGCTTTCATGAAAAATCGTATATTACAGGCTGTAGATCTCCCTAATGTATGACTATGTTCAAAATTTCAAATGATTTTATCAAAAAACAAAAAAGATATCGAGACTTTAGTTTCAGCCAATCAGAGCGAAGCACACGTGCAATGCACGTGCGATCTTGCTATTTTGACCATGTCATCTTGTGCATACTTCTAATATATCCTTACATTATAAGTTTCAAAACATTTCGTCACAAAATAGAGAAGTTACGGTTATATCCATTATATATTGGTCAATTTAAGTTTTGCACGTGCGCGCTCTTGCAAGCACGTGCGCGCAAAATGACCTTGATTCCGCAAATCTACATAACATGCCTACTTACCCTAAAAAGGTTTCACCTAAGTCGGATGTGTAGTTTACAAGATCACTCGCGGACAAAATTTTCCCAGGAAGAAAAATAATAATAAGAACTAGAAACTCTTGTTGCTATAGCAACAAAGAAGGTCTTCCGTTCTCCTCTATTTATGTGTATGAATGAGCTTTTATCTCTGTTAAAAAGGCATATAATATTTTAAATGCTTCCAGGAAAACAAACGACGGGAGGTGTAACTTACCAAGATTCTCGACGTTACTTTTTACAATTATAGTCTTAATAACATTTACAAAAATCATTTTCAATTTTTTTTTCATCACTTTCTGTGACGACCGGAAGTAACGGGGGACGCATTTTACCCTATATCTGTTGCCCAATCTTCATGGTTTATTATTCATATTAGTTTAGTGTCTTGATCTGTTACAGTTAACATGTGAGAGATCTCGTAATATTATCTTCTCTTTTTGAGGAGGAGAAATCACATGATCGTAAGAACATTTTTGAAAAGATATTTGAGGTTATTCTAGACATGTCAATCTGAACAACACGTCCAAAAATCATTTTAAATGCTATTTTTATAAAAAATATTTATGGGATAGTATGATACTAAATTTATGCAGTTTTTCTCTCACAAGCGGAAGTTGTCGTTTCTGTTTCCAGTGGGACTGACATATTTCAACTCTATGAAAAAAGATGCTATAATGTGTTACTTAGAAAGATTCCATAAAGAAAAGCTGAAATTTTCGATTTATTTGATAACTTCCTGTGACAACCGGAAGTGACGGCGGACGATCTTAAACCCAAAGGATATGTCTACTCATCAAGGTCTACAATCCCTATTAATTTGGTGTCTTAATCTCTTACCGTTAACGAGATCTTGCTATGATAACTTCTGATTTTGAAGACAGGAAGTCACGCGACCGGAAGTGAATTTAACTGAGATATTAGACTTTACTGTAGACATTTGCAGTCTGAATAACATTTCAAAAATCATAACAAATACTTTAACTATAAAAGAAGTTTTAAGGGAAAGAAAGATACTCAAATTATGTAGTTTTTTCTCTTTTAACCGGAAGTTGTCATTTTTGGTTCAGTTGGGACTAATACATTTCGAAACTTCAAATAAGATGCTATAATGTGATGCAAAACAAGTTTCAAAAAAGAAAAGTTGATTTTTTCGATCTCTTTGATCACTTCCTATGACGACCGGAAGTGACGGCAGACAATCTTACCCCAAATGGTTTTGCCTACTAATTAAGATCTATTACTCATATAAGTTTGGTGTCTTAACCTTTTACTGTTTACGAGATCTAGCTATGATAACTTCTGATTTTGAGGACAGGAAATCATGCGACCAGAAGTGAATTTTACCGAGATATTATACATTACTGTAGACGTTTGCAGTCTGCATAACATATCCAAAAATCATTACAAATACTTTATATATAAAAAGTATTTATGGGAAAGAAAAATACTCAAATTATGTAGTTTTTCTCTTATAACCGGAAGTTGTCGTTGTTATTACTGGTAAGACTAATATATTTTGAAACTACAAATGCTATAACGTGAAGCTAAAAAAGTTTCATTACAGAAAAGTTGAAATATTCGATTTCTTAGATCACTTCCTGTGACGACCGGAAGTAACTGCTGACGGTCTTATCCCAATTGAATTTGCTTACTTATCAAGATCTACCACTTATTTAAGTTTGGTGTCTTAATCTCTTACCGTTTACGAGATCTAGCTATGATAACTTCTCATTTTGAGGACAAGAAATCACACGACCGGAAGTGAATTTTACAAAGATATTTGACGTTAATGTTGTCATGTGGAGTCTGAATAACATATCCAAAAATCATTACAAATACTTTATAAAAAATATTTATGGGAAAGAAAAATACTGAAAATATGCAGTTTTTCTCTTATAACCGGAAGTTGTCATTTTTTGTTTCCGGTGGGACTGACATATTTCGAAACTACAAATAAGATACTATTTTGTGCTGCAAAACAAGTTTCAAAAAAGAAAAGTTGAAATTTTCGATTTCTTTGATCACTTCCTGTGACAACCGGAAGTGACGGCAAACTGTGTTAACCCAAATGCTTTTGCCTACTTATCAAGATCTATTACTCATTAAAGTTTTGCGTCTCCATCTCTTACCGTTTGCGAGATCTCTTTGTGATAACTTCTCCTATTGATGACAGGAAATCATGCGACCGGAAGTGAATTTTACAAAGATATTTGACGTTACTGTAGACATAAACAGTCTATTTAACATATCTAAAAATCACTACAAATACTCTATGTATAAAAATATTCATGGGAAGGAAAAATACTCAAATTATGTAGTTTTTCCCTTATAACCGGAAGTTGTCGTTTTAGTTTCCAGTGGGACTGATATACTTCAAAAATACAAATAAGATGTTATAATGTGATGCCAAAAATGTTTCATGAAAGAAAAGTTAAAAATTTTAATTTTTTGGATCACTTCCTGTGACGACCGGAAGTGACAGCGGACGATCTTATCCCGACTGATTTTGCTTACTTGTAACGATCTACCATTTATGTAAGTTTGGTGTCTTAATCTCTTACCGTTTATGAGATCTAGCTATGATAACTTTTCATTTTGAGGACAGAAAATCACGCGACCGGAAGTGAATTTTACAAAGATATTTGACGTAACTGTAGTCATTCGTATTCTGAATAACATGTCCAAAAATCATTACAAATACTTTATCTATAAAAAATATTTATGGGAAAGAAAAATACTGAAAATATGCAGTTTTTCTCTCATAACCGGAAGTTGTTTTTGTTTCCGGTGGGACTGATATATTTCAAAACTACAAATAAGATGCTATAATGTGATGCAAAAAAAGTTTCATAAAAGAAAAGTTGAAATTTTTCATTTCTTTGATCACTTCCTGTGACGACCGGAAGTGACGACGGACGATCTTAACCCGATTGGTTTTGCTTACTTATCAAGATCTATTACTCATATAAGTTTGGTGTCTTAATCACTTACCGTTTCTGAGATATGACTCGGACAAAACTTTTTTCGAAAAAACCGGAAATCGGACATATCTGACGACCGGAAGTGAATTTTGAAAAACTGAAAACTGCATTTGAAAGATATTTTAACTGTCTATCATCTCTGAAAATTTCACCTGAATCCGTCCAGTCATCTCTGAGAAATCGTCAAAAACAAAAGGGGAAAAAAAAATAATAATAATAATAACTAGAAACTCTTGTTGCTACAGCAACAAAGA